CCAAGAGGATAGGGATGATCACTTCCATTTGGAATTTGCCCCGTGAACCGTTCTGTACCGATACTCGTATCGACACATCCCTAGTTTGCATGCTTGTGAGCCTATGATCAAACAAAATGTTTATATTTATGTTTGTATATGATAGTTTTATAAATTTCCCCAAATTTTAAATTAATTCCCATCAATTTCCCAAAATTCCCGTAAATTCCCACAAATTCCTAGTAAGTTTCAAACTTGTAATATTTCCAAAATTCCCAGACGAAGCTCCCATGGAAAGTTTCCGGAAATTTTCCGCCCCTTTGCAACCCTCTATGTAAATAATGAAGATACAACATTGTCTTGGTAAAACTAACATAATTCATCAGAAGAAGTAGATCAGAGTCTGCAGATCGCCCTAAATTTCAAACTGCAATATTACAATTTCAAAATTTGTAAGTTTATCTGTGTTGAGGGAAAGGCTGTGGGAGCGAACTATCAATCTGTGTTCGGCAAAATAAAAGGGTTAACTGTACAAAAGCTACATACACATCCATGATTTCACCTGAGCTCAGCAGAGGCCCATGGCAGGACAGTGCAGAGGCACAGCTGACGGGGCTCTTTGCTTGTTCCTGATGCTCTTTCCCGAAGGGGGCCCGTACATGGAGTCATTCAGTGGCTGGGGCCATAAATGAGGGCCGCACCAGCGGCTCAGCACTGCTTATTCTAAAAGGACACAAGGACTTTGGAGCGCAGCCAAAATGCCTGGAACAAAAGGTAGATATTGAAGCAAAGCATGAAATATGAAAAAAAATTTAATGATTTCATGATATGTAATATGCAAAACTGCTGCAATAATAATATTAGTAGATTAAACCAGGCAGGGATGCAAAAAGTAATGTCCTGAATGTTTTAACATTTAACAGGTAATAAGGCGGACAAGAAATCCACCACCAAGGTAAAAAGCAGACCCATTGCACATATTGGAAAGTTACACATGCATAATTCATAAAACCTGCTCAAATTCAGTCACTGTCAGTATTGGCTAATGTTCTGGCAAGGTTCTCTCAAATGTATGAAAAAAATGTTCTTCCAGCAACATTAATAGAACTTCTGTTGTCTGAGCTTTAATAACATTCACAAAACATCAGCACAAAAACCTTATTTAGACATCGTTCATGGAATGTTTTTTTTCCTGAAATGTTTGATTAAATGTTACTACTTGTTTCAGGATGTTCAGCGAACATTAAAGAGAACTGTTCCGATAATGTATGCACAATAATTAATGAAACATTCCCATACTGTTTTCTCTGACGTTCACATTAACCAAGAAAAAAAAACCTGGTTGTTTTAAACATTCTGAAAACATTTCGAAATAACATTTTCATAACTTAATAAGAACGTTAGCTAAACGTTCTTTTATTCGCTGGGTTAACTAAGATCTTTAAACATTCTTCCAGTAACATTCACAGAATGTTCATCTAAAGTTGTCTGGTCTTTAATAACGTGCACAGAAATACATTGTTCATGGAACATCTTTTTCTGAAACATTATTTTGAATGATATTACTTATTACTTTTTTTCAGAACATTCAAAAGTAACTTTCCTATAATGTCTGCAAAATGTTGACTGGAACATTCTCTTAATGATTACTTTAACATATTCTTGGAACATTTAGAGAACATTCATTGTTAGCTGATTAACTTCGATCTTTAAATGTTCTTCCAGTAATAGTAATACAACGTTCATTTAAAGTTGTTGGTCTTTAATGTTCGCACAAAAACGTTATTTATACATCCTTCATGGAACGTTGTTTTCTGCAACATTTTTTAAACATTGTTACTACTTCTTGAATATATAAAGACCATTCAAAAGAAACATTCTTCCAATGTTTGCACAATGATAAATGGGACATTCTCTCAAAGTTTTATCTAACATTCACTTTACCAAGAAAAAAACGTTTTAGATATATTAAATAACGGTCATTTTAAATACTCAGAGAACATTCAGGCATAACATTTTCATAACTTAATAGGAACGTTAGCAAAACTATATAAGAAAATACTTTTGTTAGTTGGGATAACTGAGATCTTCAAATGCTTTCTTTTGAAATTGAATTTTATTTCTTTCTTTCTTTTTCCCTGTAGCAACCACAGAGTCCTAAGGAGCAGCCGAAAAAAGGTGATCAGAAAGGAGATGATGCCAAAAAGCAAGGAGGTAAATATTGACAACAGCATAGAAGACACGAGTGAAAAAAGGCATTTCAGATGCATGAAATACAAGCAAAAATGACGCCGCAAATATCTGAAATGTAAAATGCTTTTTATTGCTTATGAAAGTAAATGTTTGACTCACAAATAAAGATGCATAACATTTTCATAACTTAATAGGAACGTTAGCAAAACTATATAAGAAAATACTTTTGTTAGTTGGGATAACTGAGATCTTCAAATGCTTTCTTTTGAAATTGAATTTTATTTCTTTCTTTCTTTTTCCCTGTAGCAACCACAGAGTCCTAAGGAGCAGCCGAAAAAAGGTGATCAGAAAGGAGATGATGCCAAAAAGCAAGGAGGTAAATATTGACAACAGCATAGAAGACACGAGTGAAAAAAAGGCATTTCAGATGCATGAAATACAAGCAAAAATGACGCCGCAAATATCTGAAATGTAAAATGCTTTTTATTGCTTATGAAAGTAAATGTTTGACTCACAAATAAAGAATTGTTTGATTGATTACAATAGAATAAAGTGTCAAATGGTGTTTAGTGTGTGGGAGAAACACTATACGTTATCTTGATGCAAATGAGAGAGAAGATTGAACATTTCTTGCTCTTAGGGACAAGTGGATGTAATTGCACTTGCTGTATGTTCCAGTCAAGGTATCTGTCTCTGTGTCTTCCCCTCGCAGGACAGCCGAAGGGAGAGAAGCAATAATTTCCAGGCCTTCGTGAAGCTGGCTCTGGAGACTCTCCTGGGCTCTTGTCGACGCAAGCATGGGGGCCCCCGGGGGAGGCAGGGCTAAGGTTTACTCCTCCCACCAGCATCCATCTGACCGTCGCTAGACAGAGCTTGGCCTAAGCTGCCGACAGTCTGTCCCTTCTGTACCTCCTCACATGGGTCTCGCGTTTGAATAACACTGGTGATCTGCTCATTGGAAGTTGGGCTAATATAAAGACTCCAGAGACTCTGTGACCCCGCCCTCATCTGTTAATTTGACTCCGCCCATGTCATAGATCTCAACTGTGCTGTACATAAATGAACTGATTTGCAAATAAACATGATTTCATACACTTGCCATAATTTGACATTTTGACTGATTTTTAAATCAGATTATTTATTTATTTACACACACACAATACTATTCAAAAGTTTGTGGCCATTAAGATTTTTAAATGTCTTTGAAAGTAGTCTCATGCTCATCAATGCTTCATTATTTTGATTTTGAACAAAAAGACATGTAGCCTCTTGCTTTGACCTACAATAACATGTGCATTATAAAATAAATCCATTTTTGCCTATACCGGGCCAGCATGTGAACCAGCATCTGGCCTAGTAGACAGCAGAGAGAAATAGGTGAAGTGTAACCATGCATTAGAGGCAGCGCTCAGGGAATATAATGCATGTATGTAATACTGTATTAGGCTGAGGCAGCAAAACCATAGGATGTATTTGTGCCAGAGAACAAGTGTTTTAGGAGGTGCATGTAGTCTTCTAACTAGATTAGGGGTTGCGTTGGTTCTGGAAATAAAGCATATGCACACCAGTATTTGACCATACAGTGTTTCTGCTTTATGGAATGTCAGAAAGCAGAATGCCATTTTTCTCTTGACTTAACCACATCAGACAGATTGTGCGTGTGTGTGATCATATATGCAGAGCCACATATGCAGAGCCATAAACCTGTCAGAGGAATGTGAGCATTTCACTCCGGATGCACTCCAAAAAAATATGCCATTCATATTTAATCTCAAGTAATGAATATTTTCTGACAGCAGTGACGCTATCATATGTGGCCATTTAACCAAAGATGTCATGCGATGGTCAGACCTGTATAAACTGTTATACTGGCTCAAACATTTATTAAGAGAGAACAGACACAGGATATGAGAATTAATCTAATCTAATCTAATATAAAACTCCTGTAAGTGCTTATGATTGTTCTTATGAAATATACTGTACACAGTACTCGAAGATACCTGTCCGAAAACACTAAACAGGCTATACATAAAAATGTACTCAAAAGTACCATGGTATTTCTATGGTATTCTATGAAGTACCATATATGGGGCTTAAATATATGATACTTTACAGAATGGTATTACCATGGTACATGTCCGATAAACAACACAGGCTACTATAATTACAAAACACATTCGAAAAGTACCATGGTATTAACATGGTATTCTGTGAAGTACCATATACTGTACTACGGTGCTAAATAACTATATGTATGCACTGTATCATGGTATTTACATACTCCAAGGTAGGCTACGTAATAGAATACCACAGTACATGTCCAATAAACAAAATAGGCTACAATATTACAAAAACATGCCCAAAATACCATGATATTAACACAGTATTCTATAGTGTACCATATTGCTTTGATACTCAATTACTATGTACTGCACCATAGCATTTACATACTCCAGGGTACATGGAATACCATGGTATGCAATAAACAAAATAGGCTATACTTACAAAAATGTGCCCAAAAAGTACCATGGTACTATAATAGTACAAGCATAGTATTTTAGACATGTAGATACAATGGTACGAGGATTTAGGTGTCATAGTATTACCATTACTGCATCATTAACCATGGTAAAGTCGCAGTACTTTCATGATGTCGTGTAACTTATGCCATAGGTACAAGGTACTTGTTCTGAAACCCTTGCATTACCATGGTGTATGTCTAAAAACATGGTAATACGATTGTGGAACGTTTTCTTATAGTATTATGGATTCATAATTGTGTGGGTTCACGCCCACAAAAGTCCCTCCCCAGCACTCTCTCTCTCTCTTACACTCACGATCCTTGGCTGGCTTCCTCCATTAGAGCTTCAGGATCGCCACACGAGAGCATCCAGCGCGCGAAGCATCACTTCCTCACAGATATGGCTTTCCGTCAGTCTGTCGGATGGACGGCGGGATCGGCTGATTTCTGCGCGAACGCCGGAGAAATGTTCGGATAACTGGCATCGCTTTTCAGGTCCAGCATCTTTCTTCTGAAGTGCTTCAGGTAAACGCTCGTGTGCTACAAGTGACGCTGCTGGTTCCAATCGCTGTCGCGCTTTGACTGTCTGTGGGATTCTGTTGCGTGACACAATGTAACAAGCCCCAAAAAAATCGAATCGTGATTTGGCGCGTTTCACCTCAGACTGTGTCGCTCACGAAAGGTCAACGAAAACAAGTCGCATTTCACACTAAAATTAAAATGGGGAGATTTTTTTGTACTATTATTATTATTTTGTTGAGTTGTGACATTTAAAAAAAATAAAAAATAAAAAAAAATTAAGCTTTCTCACACAATTTTCTTGATTTAAATGAGCCCAGATGTTTAGCTTTAGAGTTTTTATCCTCGTTGATGATTCTAATTAGATTTTAATGCAGTCATGACAATTGTCCTGTACGCATTGTATTTTAATTTTACTAATTAAACATAAAATATTTATACATAGGCCTATTTTACAACTGAAATTATCTATCTATCTATCTTTTTTTGCATTATGTTAATGGGTGCCTGCTTAATTGTTATGAAAATAATGTCACAAATGAACGCCAAAAAGGCTCTAGTTGTCTTTATGCTAACATATTTGATTTGGGCCTGCAATATGTTGTTCTGATTATGAGATTTTCCTGTCAGCTGGTCTGTAGACTATAATTAAATGCTATTGGGAATTTGGCTTAGGCAGCAAATTGCCCTTTACAAGCTCTCTGTAGGTGTCTGAACTATATACAGAGAAGAAGCATTGATGTACAGTGACTTATACTTGCACATTATGTTTTAATTTGACTACATTTCTGCTTCAGACAATGAGTGACAGCCCCCCTCTTGAAGGCCCCTGATATTGGGACGTAGATTTTTAGGGAGATGGCAAAATGGTATTGTGTTTGATCATTAGTCATTTCACTTTTTATAAACGCAGTTCTCTGAGAGTAACTTGATTTGTGTATCAGTGTTGTTATTGTTAATTAAAAATAAAACGGTCAAAAACTTTTGTTAGTGAATAATAAAATATTAATATTAGATGCAAAACGTAATCTTAAAATATAGTGAACAGAATCATTTATTGTCTGTGATGGGGAAAAAATGTCAAATTGCTTCACACGATGGCTTTATTCACTGTCTAAAAATCATTTTGGGAAATAAAACTGGGATAAAATATACTGATCAAAAATGAAAATCAAAAATGAATAAAAATATCATATTAGATGGAAAAACGTAAGCGAAAATTAGAAATGTTGCCTTGGAATCTAACTGAAATAAGTTGAAATTGAAGTACTCAAAAAATAAATTAAAGAAAAATATAAAAATTTAAAATGATAAAATCATATAACAAAATGACTAAAACGTTAACTAAAAACTGAAAATATAAATATAATGGTAAATTAATAATATTAAATATAATATTAATAAAATATGAAAAAGAATCAAATATTATGTCAGATTAAAAGCTTAAATGAAAATTAGAAATGTTACCTTGGATTCTAAATAAAGGACTAGAAGTACTAAAATGACTTGTTGATAAAAAATGAATTAAAGCTAAACTTTTAACTTAAAATCTCAAAAGCATGTAACAACATTAACTGAAAATATCAAGAAAACCTCATTTAAAATAAAAAAAGCTATGATGGTAAATTAATAATACTAAAAAACATCTAGTGACATTTCACGAATCAACCCTTGTGGGATTTTAACCACCAGCCTTAGAGTTTCCAGCCCACCTTAATAGTTTCATCCCAAAATTATGTCTTTGCTGAATGATCACTCACTTATGATCGCAATAACTATTGAAGTAAAACGTGTGTCTCTGTTTTTAATGTCTTAGGGAGAGTTTTGCAGCTTTGCGGTGGAAGAATTGTGTGATGAAAACATCAGTGATGGATCTCAAAGTGGAACCTATGGACATTGATTACGACCAGCCGCCTCCCCTCCAAGTGTTCGCTCACACCTCGACTCTACACGGCATCTCTCATATCTTCTCCTATGAGAAGATCACGGCCAAATGCTGCCTCTGGGTGGTGTTTTTCCTCAGCTCACTGACCTTTCTCATGTACGTCTGCGTCGATCGCATTCAGTTCTACCTGGAGTACCCTCACGTCACCAAGCTGGACGAGATCACGACGCCCATGATGGTTTTCCCAGCGGTGACGATTTGCAATCTCAACTCCATCCGCTTCAGCAGGATCACACGCAACGACCTGTATCACGCGGGCGAGCTGCTGGCGCTGCTCAACTCCAGGTTGGTGAATGTGTATCAGTCGAGGGGCTGTGGTTAAGTTTTAATAATGAGCATGAGTCACTCGCTCAGTAGATTATGCTCTCGTATTCCCTGCATGAATGCAAAAGCACACTGGAGTGTAAATGATTAGCGTGCTTTTATTGAACTTGAGGAGCGGAAATGAAAATGCAGAGCCCTGATGCTGAAGTCATGATATTGTATATATTTCTGTCGCTCCTGCCTCTTCATCCTAAGTGCTTCTCTGGCAAATTGAAAGATGCAGTCTGATTATTGTTCATTTTTTAATCGTGGAAAGTGCACTCCAGTAGGGGTTTTGCTGCGAAGAACCATTTTTGGTTTCACAAAGAAACTGTCAGTGATCAAAAGGAATAGTTCACCCGAGAATTAAGGCCATTCCTCAGGCCGTCCAAGATGTAGATGTGTTTGTAGATCAGACTGGATTTGAAGAAATTTAGCATCGCATCACTTGCTCACCAATGGCTCCTCTGCAGTGAATGGGTGCCGTCAGAATGAGAGTCCAAACAGCTGATAAAAACATCACAGTAATCCACAACACTCAAGTCCATAAATTAATGTCTTGTGAAATGAAAAGCTGTATGTTTGTAAGAAACAAATCCATCATTAAGGCGTTTTAACTTTAAACCGTCTCTTCTGACCAAAATACGGGTCACTAATCCATAATAACGCTTCCTCCAGTGCAGAACGCCAGTTGTCCTCTCACATCAAAATCTACCAACATATTTATTTAGGACTGTTTTGGCTTGTAAACAGTGCTTTTTCTGTGCATGTTTCTCTCCTGATTCAGATGAGATTACTTTTTCACTAGAGGAAGCAATATTATTGATAGAGGAATCATATTTTAGCCAGGTAGAGGCCATTGTTTAAAATGAAATAAATTAATCAAGACGTGTTTTTATCACAAACACAGTTTTTTTTGCTTAATAAGACGATGGATTACTTGTGTGGATTTTTGTGATGTTTTTATCAGCTGTTTGGACTCTCATTCTGACGGCACCCATTCACTGCAGAGGATCCATTGGTGAGCAAGTGATGCTATGGTAAATTTCTGCAAATCTGTTCCGATGAAAAAAACTAACTCATCAAACATCTTGGATGGCCTGAGTAAATTTTCAACAAATTTCCATTTTTGGGTGAACTATTCCTTTAAGAAGATTTTAATCATCTAAAGAACCTTTTTCTAATATAAAGAACCTTTTGTCCAATGGAAAGGTTCACTGGATGCTAAAGGTTCTTTACGGGACCATACATGCCAATAAAGAACCTTTATTTTTTAAGAGACATGTAGACCGTGTATCATCAGATTATATGGGTCTTTTCTGGATTGCTGAAGTGCAACTCCCAAATTAAAAAATCATATTAAAATGAAATCTTTGGCATAAGAATCAGTATCCGCTTCCATCTGGCATCAGGAAGTCGTGATTTAGTTACTGCAGTGTTGTAACACCCGGCAGCTGTGATGTGATGTGGGTTTGAATTGGACTTCAGTCACGCCTGCTTCTGCATTCCAAGTGCTTCTGCACAGTGATACACACACTCTCCTTGTCTCAATTTTATTCTGTATTTGGTCTAGTGTGGCACTTTTCGACATGTGACTTTCCTTCTTCCTCAACGGACAGCTGAAAAGAGCATGCACGAAGTCGTGATTTAGTTACTGCAGTGTTGTAACACCCGGCAGCTGTGATGTGATGTGGGTTTGAATTGGACTTCAGTCACGCCTGCTTCTGCATTCCAAGTGCTTCTGCACAGTGATACACACACTGTGCAGAAGCTTTGCTGCATCAAGGGCACAAAATAAATATTGACATTGTGCCATCATTTAGGCTCAGTTATGAGTGTAGTCAAATTGAGATTCAATCTAGAGTTTGCCTCTAAATTCTGCATGTCTTTATACTATAGAACCTGTTCTGTCATAATTTACTAAAACCTGACTTTTACTAAAATTGACTTCTTTTCTTCTGTGGAACACAAAAAAGCTGAAGAATTTTGCAACAGCTCTTTTCTTCCATAATGTGACATACATCCTAGTGGTATTCTAGTATTATTTATATACAATTTTAGCTTTTATTTTTGTATTTTCGGTTAATTTTAAAGGGGTCATATGATGTGATTTCAAGTTTTCCTTTCTCTTTGGAGTGTTACAAGCTGATTGTGCATAGATAAGATCCCTGAAGTTGCAAAGACTAAAGTCTCAAAACCAAAGAGATATTCTTTATCAAAGTTAAGACTCTGCCCCGCCCCCCTAAAACCAGAGGTGTCAAGTAACGAAGTACAAATACTTCGTTACCTTACTTGAGTAGAAATTTTGGTTATCTATACTTTACTGGAGTAATTATTTTTCAGCCGACTTTTTACTTCTACTCCTTACATTTTCACGCAATTATCTGTACTTTCTACTTCTTACATTTTAAAAATAGCCTCGTTACTCCTATTTCGTTTCGGCTTGTTTTCATTCCGGCTTGTCATCGTTCAAAAAAAACAAAAAAAAAACCTATCCAGATAAATCGCGCCATCCGGATAGAGTGAATTTGATTGTGGTTGGATGAGAAGTATAAACATATACCATTCCGACACCCTATTGGTTTGTACGCGATCCATCGCATCCATCGCAGAGGTGGGGTAATGCACAATAGGCCCCTGTGGAGCGGCCTAAGCTTTTGTCCTTAATGGCATTTTTTTCCTTACATTACTCTTACTTTTATACTTTAAGTAGTTTTGAAACCAGTACTTTTACTTGAGTAAAAAGTACAAAATAATGATCTTTAAAAAAGCATCATATGACCCCTTTAACTTCATTTTTAATTATAATTTCTATATCTGTAAGTCTGGAGTGATATGGCAGTTAATATATTAATAGATTTAAACTATACTTAGTATGAAATAAATGTATTTTAAATACATTTCTTTTTTTACTACTTAATAAAAAGATCTATATACAATGAATAAACTCCATGAAATTAGCCCCAATGTTGGAAAAAGAAATGTCTATCAGTTTTCCAACCGAAGGGACCAGATTGTTTATACCCACTTTAGAATAGGTCATTCCAGGATGACACACAAGTTTTCAATACTATGAGAAGATCCTCTCTGCCAAAACCCTTTATCAATGAAGCATGTTTTATTAGATTGTGCTGGTTTTAACCCTGTGAGAAAACGTTTTTTATTCAGTCAATTCTTTCAAAGAGATTTTTAACAGAGTTAAGCCAAATACATTTTTAGAGTTTTTAGTGAAAATAAATTATAAAAACCTTATATATGACCCTGGACCACAAAACCAGTCTTAAGTGTCAGTTTTTTTAAATTGAGAACCATCTGAAAGCTGAATAAATAAGCTTTCCATTGATGTATGGTTTGTTAGGATAGGACAATATTTGGCCGAGATGCAACTATTTGAAAATCTGGAATCTGAGGGTGCAAAAAAATCTAAATATTGAGAAAATCGCCTTTAAAGTTGTCCAAATTAAGTTCTTAGCAAGGCATATTACTAATCAAAAATTAAGTTTTGATATATTTATGGTAGGAAATTTACAAAATGTCTTCATGGAACATGATCTTTACTTTATTTTTGGCATAAAAGAAAAATCGATAATTTTGACCCATACAATGTATTTTTGGCTATTGCTACAAATATACCCCAGCGACTTAAGACTGGTTTTGTGCTCCAGGGTCACATATAATTAAGCCATAAATGTTTCTCACCACAAAAGCTGGCATGACGTTAAACACAAACAAACAAACTCTTAATAAAAAGTTCATTAAAAAAACAATATTAAAGCAATGCATTTTGCACTAGGTTTGACAACTTTAATAAAAGCTTTAATATCCATGGAACTTTTTCATTGCATTAAAGGTTCTTTATAGTGGAAAAGGTGAAATGTTCATTGAAAGGTTCTTTTTTTTAAAACCTATTGAGAAATTTTAGTTTTAAGAGTGTACTCTCATGTTCTTCTGTTTTTTTTTTGTTGCCTGTCTCTATAGACATGAGATTCGGGACGCTCACCTAGTTGAAGAAAGCGTGATGGAGGTTCTCAAGAGCAAAGCAGACTTTCGCTCCTTCAAGCCGCGACCCTTCAACATGTGGGAGTTCTATAATAGAACAGGACATGACATAAAAGACATGCTGCTCTCCTGCCAGTTCAGAGGTTCTCCGTGTCGACCCGAAGACTTCAGCGTGGTGAGGCACTCTAGGGATGCACAGTGATAGATTTCTTTGAGCTCTTTTCACTTCAAGTCCCATTCTGCAGCCCTGGTGTATTTATTTGATGCAAATCTCTCGGAGCGCTCAAGGCTTTTTCTAGGTTTCAGCCAAATGCTGGGGTGTGATATTTGACAGTCCAATCATTTACGCCGCTGGAATGAAGTTTGTAGTTCTCGAGATTTCCCAGGCTTCACATTGTGCTGTTGAGTTGTTTTATGGCTTTCATTTCAGCAACACTAACAAAAAGCAACAAAAAAAATACCCTTTACTTTAAATGTGTCCGTCTACATGGTACAACCAGAGCTCAACTGTAAAGATGGCATGATGGCCTGAGGCTAATGTGAGGGAGGTTTGGCCAGAACTGTCAATTCAGTTCAGTTTGCATGCAGAGCAGCTGTTGTGCGAGTAGAAGTGCATTGACATTTTTTTTGTACACTACGGTCCAAAAGTTTATGCTCTGTAAGATTTTTAAAATGTTTTTGAAACATCACCATGGCTGCATTTATTTGTTTAAAAATACAGCAAAAATAGGAATATTGTGAAATACTATTACAATTTAAAATAACTATTTGCTATTTGACTATATTTTAAAATGTAATTTATTTGTGATGCAAAGATCTGTAAAGTTACAAAGCTCAAAGTTCACTTCAAAAGGAGATGTTTTATTTAATAGAAATCACTTTTTAAAAACTACAACGAACGACTCGTTAGAGCCTGTTCTAGTACACCCCCAAAACAAAATCAAGACTTTGTAAAAGAGCATAATTAGGACCCCTTTAAAGAAGATAGTAAATTAAAATGTTTGCCAGGGCAAATGCATTTATGTGTGTGGCAGATACTTTTGTCAAAAGCAAATTAAAAGCATTTTATCTGTGAAGTGTTTTCTGGGAATCAAACCCATGACCTTGGCAGTGCTAGTACCAGGCGCTTCCAATTGAACTACAGGAATGCAAATTAAAGTCTGTCAAATCTGAACTGCAATAAGTACAAATTTGAACTATTGACCCGACCACTGCAGCAGAAAATAAACATGAATACCTTGTTTTTTTGTGCATGTGCCATGTAGTCTTTTAAGCACATTGAAAAGAAATTGGTGTATGCTTACTTTGAAACAGTTTTAACTCAGAAATGACTTATTTTACAAATATTTACAAAGAAAGTAAACAAGTAACAATGAATTAAAAAATGAAATTCTGACTTTTTTCCTCTGAATTCTCAGATTTGGGGAAAAAAGTTTTGAATTGTGAGATAAACTCAGAATTGCGAAAAAATTCTGAAGTGTGAGATATAAGCTAAGAATTGTGAGAAAAAAGTCAGAATTATGAGATATAAATTCTGAATTGTGAGGGGGAAAGTCTGAATTGTAAGATATAAACTAAGAATTGGTAGAAATGTGTCTGAATTGTGAGGTATAAACTTAAGAATTTTTGGGGGAAAAGGTCTGAATTGAGAGATATAAACTGAATTGCGAGGAATAAGTCTAAGGGTGCTTTCACACTTGGTTCGATTGCTTGGTCCGAACCCGAGTTCGATTGCTCCCCCCTCCCTCTGCCCCCACTGGACTGTGTTCACATTATATTATTTGGGTCCAAACTGCGGTTCGTTTGCGTCATCAAGCCAGCAGCTGTTTACCCCGTTGATGACGCAGGAGAAGATGGCAAAATGCGTAGCATTGCTCTCTTCAATTTTATATTTATGCCTTTGAACCGTTGGTTTTGTTTCCAAAGCTTCAGTACATAACGGCACTTACGTCTGCCTTATGCAAATGCTCTAAAGAACTCTGAAGGCGAATAGAAATGAGATATACAGCTCTCTGCTTGCAGCGCGTCAGTCACGCTCGTCAGGAATGTGAGTAAAACACACACAAACACACATTTTTATCAAATAATACGTCATTAATAGCGGTTCACTTCCGTGATTTGGTACGATTGCGTTCACATCAGCAGCGAACCGTACCAGAGTTCACTTGAACCGTACCCCAGACCACCCTTTTAAGCGGACTCGGGTACGGCTCGTGGGTGCGCACCCGAGTTCGGAAGACAGCGTTCACATCATCCAAACGTACCGAACTCTGACGTCAATCGAACACGGGTACGGACCAAAAGTGCTAGTGTGAAAGCACCCTAAATTGCGAGATATAAACTCAGAATTGTAAGAAATTGTCTGCGTTATGAGATATAAACTCAGAATTGTGAGAAAATTGTCTGCGTTACGAGATGTAAACTCAGAATTGTGAGAAAATTGTCTGCATTACAAGATGTAAAATCAGAATTGTATGAAAATTGTCTGCGTTACGAGATGTAAACTCAGAATTGTGAGATATAAACTCAGAATTGCGAGGAATAAGTCTAAATTGCAAAATATAAAGTCAGAACTGCGAGGAATATGTCTAAATTGTGAGATATAAACTCAGAATTGCGAGGAATAAGTCTAAATTGCAAAATATAAAGTCAGAACTGCGAGGAATATGTCTAAATTGCAAAATATAAAGTCAGAACTGCGAGGAATATGTCTAAATTGTGAGATATAAACTCAGAATTGTGAGGAATAAGTCTAAATACGAGATATAAACTCAGAATTGAATTGAATATAAAAGTTTGAATTGACCCTTCACAAAGATAACGCATAACGCAGTTAATATCCGACAAGCCATGCCGTTCTCACGCCAGACATTGTGAAAATACATTGCAGAGCAAAGAGGAAACTGACAACGCGCTGACGGACAAGACAAAGCAGGTTATTTTGGTGTAAAACAAAGCCTCAGCTTTCAGATTTTGTCATTTTTTAAGAAATTCAAACAATAAATACCATTTATGGCTCCTTATTTGTCATGACCGACTGCTGTAGAGCCTCAGTTCAAGCAGCGTGTGAACCGA